AAGCCCACCACCGAACCCCCCCACTCCCCTACCGCGACGCGCTTGAAGCCTTCTCCACTGGGCCTGCTGTCCGTTCCTCACGCCCCTCAGGACCCGGGGTGTGGGAGCCCTGGGGTTCGCGGCCATCCCTCTTCCCTCCTCCTCCCCGGGCTGGGGGATTGCCCCTGAGCCCGAAACCCGGCCCCGTAACCGGAGCCTCCCTCCTTCCAGCCTTCGGCTTCGCTCTCAGACCCCTTGCCTCCAGGCCTGGCGCGAAACGGGCGGAGAGCTCGCACGCTGGCTCTCCCCACGGCTTGCCGGGGCTAGTCCGAATTGCCCCCGTATCTTCCTCCCTCAATTGAAGCCCCCTCCCCGCCGCGCGCGGCCCGGCAGCCCCCGCCCCTAACAGCGAGGGCAGCGGAGCCAGGGCGCTCCGAAGTCATCCCCCGCCTTTTTTCCAGGGACTCGGATAATTGCCCCTGCCCCCATCACAGCACTCCCACTCCAGAACCCAGGCCCCGCCGCCACCTAGGGGTACCCCTTACCCTATGGCTCCTGCACCCCAACACCGCGGAGAAATCATCCCTGAGGAGAACCCGTCGCACCTCCCCTCTGAGATTGGAGGGTATTTTCTCCTAGTCTCTTCAAGACTTCCTCACAGACAGCAAGCCCCCCCCCAAAAAAAAACAAACCCTTTCTCGCCCTGCCCTGCTGGCCAAGCCTCCCTTCGAATCGTGGGATCCTTGGGTGAGGGGGGAGATTGGGACCAGGTAGTTAACAAGATCGTAGCCTTCACCTCCCTTTTCGAGGACTGGGGTAATTCCAATGGTTCCCCCCAGGATCAACCCGACCCCCGTTTCCATGGAGACCCCCGCCCAGCCGAGAAGACTCTCTCAGATCGTGGCGAACAAGTATCACCTGGCTAAGGGAGAAGGGGGCTAGGAGAAGGTAGGGTAGGGCAGAAATGGGGTACGAAGGTGGGAAGTGGAGGGGAGCTGTCCCGAAGGGAGGGGCGAGGACAGAGCGAGCTCCAGGGAGCGCTACGTCCGGGGACACGAAGAGGACGGCGCCCCCGGGGGGCAAGCCGAGCGGCCGCGGAGCGAAGAAGGGACAGGGCTGAGGAAAGGCTTAAGATAGAAAGAAGCGGGTGGGGGGATATGAGAAAGCCGGGGAGTCAAAGGGGGTGGAGGGGTTGGGGGAGAGAGAAAAAAGACGCACCTGTTCCCGGGTCGGCTCCGCGGGGAGGCTCAGGCCGCCACCCGGGTTCTCTCTTATCCCCTCAGAACCGCCACCCGCCTAGTACTGCCCCGATCTGACGCCCCCCTCCGTCCCTTATCACCACCGACCTCCTTCTCCTCTCTCCGCGGCGGCGGCGGTCGGACTCTAGGAACTGAGAGGAAGAAGGGAGGGCTCAGCAAAGCGGAGGAGACAGAGCCACACACTGGCAGCAGCCGCGGCGAGCGAAAGAGTGAGGGGGAGAGCGGTGTGTGTGTGTGTCTGTGTGTGCGAGCGAAGCCTGGTAGAGTGGGTGCCGGTCGCAGGGCTCGACGGGAAGTGGAGTCCGGCCGGGACCGCGGGCGGCGCCAACCTCAACTCCACCAGACTACAACTCCCAGAATGCCCTCTGCCGGGGGGGAGAAATGGGGAGGAGGAGGCGAAGGGAGGGAGCGAGCAAGGGAGGGAGGGACGAAAGCAAGGAGCAAGCGGCGGCGAAGGGGGCAGAGCCAAGCAGCCCCGGTGACACTGGGAGGGTTGGGGAGGAGGAGGGGATCGCTACGAGGACCGAGCGGATTCTGTAGAGTGAGGCAGTGGTGGCTGCAGCAAGCCGGGCAAAAAGCTAGACTCCCAGGAGAGGCGGAGGCGCTCAATCCGAGGGGCTGCAAGAGCCCCACGGCCCCCACCTCGATGCCCCTTGAAGAGGGAGGTTGAGGAAAGGAAAAGATCAGTACATAGTGGCCAGGGGAAACCTCTTTCTTCCAATGCTGTCCGCCTTAAGCTCGGACCCGACTTTCTCAGGCCACTGGTGCCCTATCTAGTGTGCAAATCCGAAGACCCCAGATCGCCCCCGTCGGGTAACACAAAACAAACGCATTCGGTCCCCTTCTCCCTGGGGCCTGAGAGAGGCTCCCTTTGCTGG